CGTGGACGGTCCCGCGCGATCAGTCACGCGACCATCGAGCGACCGGTCGCTTGTGAGATGGGTCCGCGACCGGTCGCGCGACTGGTCGCGTGACCGGTCGTGGACTATGAAAGATGTCAATGGCGAAATTTTGTTACAAGTCAGTAATCATCATTATCGACTATTTGTGTAACTGACTCGGCGAACAACGTACCTCTTCCAGCCAAAATACTCTTTTTGTTCTATACTTATTGCAGGAGGCTCCAGCTTGCAGAATAGCCAGCTAACGTTGACTTGACTTGGGGAGGGGGAGAGGGTCCACCACACATTGAATTTTTCCAACTCGAAATCATAAGAGCTTAGCTTGAAGAGATCACTTTATTAATTCATGCATTTTAGGAGTTGAAAAAACAATTGATTGCTCGTTTAGATACTGCGATCAGAGTCAGTGAACTCCATGAATACAAGTTCAGGAAGGTCGAGTCGCCTTGGCAGGGTATTCCATGCTAGACACCCGAAATCAACCAAAAATCGGTCAGTACATTCCTGCATAGAACTCCGTTATCTTTATTTTTTACGTGCAGTAGAAAAATCATTTTGCAATAATCCTTTTTTATGAAGAGGGTTTAAATAAGGAACAACCAGGTGTGAAAATTAGTCCCTTGAGAAAGTAGAGACAGAATACTATTAGATGATGAGAATAGGAAGGCTGTGTACTAAGATATACAAGTGTTTTGCTTAGAAATGTTTAAATCGACCTGGAGTGTTGGCCTACAAGCAATCCGGTGCTTTCATCTTCCACATAGCGGTATCGCCTTGACCCACAGACTTGAAGAAACGGGGCATTCGTCAAGCCTGAGGTAGTCTTGGTCTAAGGATCGATAAGAGGACCACCAATTTTCTAGAAAGACAGCTAGCCGTTTTGAGCCGAATCGAGTGAGCCGTATTTGGTAATCGAAAGTAAACCGCAGTGTCCCCAACGTTTCCATGCCACGGGGCTATGTGTGGTGCAGCAGGAACGAAATCGTCGCGATGCGGCGAGAGAGACGTCGCGGGCGAAGGAATGTAGCAGAGTGCAGCAGTAAGTAAGGAATACAGAAACAGAAGAACTAACAGTAGGATCATGCCAAAAGTAATAATCGCATAGTGATTGAGCTGTATCAAGAACGCTTGGGCTGTTATAACGAGGCAAATGGTTCGCGACAGTCGCGGTGGCGGATTGATTACATGAAATTGTTCCTACTGCCCGTCTCCCACTGTCTATAAAGTGACTTTGTTCTTTGAAACAGTTTAACCTCTGACCGAACACAAAAACTGGCAAAAACCTCCCGAACAACTTCACAGAATATCAGAATAGTCGTGGCTAGGTGCTGATAACATATAAAACTATTGTCGAATAATTTCCAACTCCTCTCTTGCTTTAACCTCGGCATAGTTGTTTATTATTTAAATACTCTTGTGCCGTGCGAGGTTGTTAGGTGGAACGATTTA